GGCCACGGGATCACAACCCTCGGTGTTGCTCCCGCCCCTCGCTCAGCCAGTGAGCGGCCGGTCCGTATGTGGGATCCGAACCCTCGGCGGGAGCACCACCGCGCTTCCCAAGCGGCACACTACAGCAGTGCGCCACCGGGCCGGCCCCCGAACCCTCGGCGGGAGCACCACCGCGCTTCCCAAGCGGCGCACTACAGCAGTGCGCCACCGGGCCAGCCTCCAGTGAGCGGCCGGTCCGTATGTGGGATCCGAACCCTCGGCGGGAGCACCACCGCGCTTCCCAAGCGGCACACTACAGCAGTGCGCCACCGGGCCGGCCCTAGATGGCTATTTCTTTAAAAATAGTTTATTATACTGCCCAGTTCCTATGATAGAAGCTGACCTAAAGGTTCAAGTTCTAGATAACTCCTTGTTTGAGTATCACTGTTCTACACTCTGGAACAGGGAGGTATCTGGCATGGAGATTGTTAGAACTCATCCTAAAGGCTATTCCAGACATTAGAAACTGGAAAGAAAGTTCCAGGAATTGAAATATGGAACAAGCTTCCTTCATTACAGTGGAAGCAGCAGAAAAAGAAGGATTTAATGGCAAGGATAGAAAGTATCAGAAAGAAATCTCTGGAAAGAATTAGTACAGAATTGCTTGTGTCATAGAACAATTTCTAAATAACATTTCAGAAAGTCTTAAATGTGTTAGTTCACTACAGAGAATTGAACTTAAAGGCGTGTTACCTCTTAAGAGGTAAAAATATTTTAATAGAAAAAATAAGATGGCACTAACATTATATACGAAAAAATATAATTCTAAACCTCATAATTTGAAGTGTTAGTTATTAAACCACTAACTTGACATATATTTTTAAGTCATATATCAATATATTTTCAAATAGTTTTGTAAAAAATATTTTTAAAATAAATAAGTTGTAATTGCTGACCACTATGTACAAAGATCAATTGCACGTGTCATAATGAATAAATTGCAGTCCCTGCCTTAAGGAGAGAGTATTTAAAATACCATACTCAAAATATTGCAGGTATGTTGGTCAAAGAAAAACTCTACAATGAGTGGCAAAGAGCCTACTTATAGATCTAGCTTGACTCTTGGACTTGTGTGTGTTGACACTTCACAATCTAATTAAACTGCATTCCTACAGTCTCCTGCCAAACCTTTCTCCTTTCTAGTTCTCACAGGGCAGAATAGTAGTGGTAGGTCACTGGGCACCTACATTCTCAGCATTATCAGTACTAATTATGTTACCATGCTGTGGAAACATACAACATATTAGTGTAATCAATATCCAGCCACGTACATCTGCAGTCATTACACACTTGTTCTGAAGGTGGTTAGTCATAAAAACTTAATAGAAAACCTCTATGTATGAACTCAAATCATTTCAATCCTTAAATACCTTAGATGATATGCCTTTCCTGAAAGAAGTTAAATAAATACATTGATTCTAAAAAAACTTTGTATTTTTTTTAATAACATTAGCTGTGATATAAATGAACACATTAAGGTCAAAATTATTTCCTTCTGTGTGTGTATATGTGCACATGCATGGTTTAGAGGAAAAATCCCTTCAAATTTCTTAAGAATTAAGTTATGCCTGCAGAAGATGCTCATGTAATAAAGATAACATTTTGCCCCCACAGTCCTGAGAAAGGTCCCACAGCTGCAGTTTAGGAGTCTGATCTTTGTCTAGCCTCTGCATAAGAATGTACACTCTTCTGGAGGAGAAAAAAAGGGGGTTGTAGAGGCCAAGTTGAATTCAGATTGGGTGGGACCATTGGGAGATGTTTCTAATGGCCAGGAAACTCTTCAGAATTATCCCCAACACCTTTCAACACTGCTTTTCATAGTGGCTGAAGTCTGAGACTTTGACTTAAACCAGAAATTCTAGAATTCTTGTATTAGAGGCAACTCCTTTATTGGTATTTGGTGTGTGTTGTGCTACTGAGGAAAGAGGGGTAAAGAAAAGTATGTCCTCAGGTAAAGGTAACTGAACTGTGTCCTGACAGAGACAACATGGTTTCTGGCTGACTTGTCAGACAAACTAAGATTGTATTTGTTTCTATTTATGCATTTAGTTATCCGAATGACTACAGAAAAAACTCAAAAAATCTAAGGAATTTTATGTTTGCCAAATATAAATGTTGGCTACCTTTGTAAAATAAACTACTCTCTCCTTCATAAAAGCATTATTTAGTACTTATTACTAATCTATAGCTCAAGTTTCTGTGATTTCTTTTGTACATACACCAAGTTCACCTAATCTACAAATAAATGGACTTTTTCTAATCATGAAACTTGTTTTTCAAGGAGTCTGGCAAAAACCAGCTTACCAGCAGTAGTCCAGCAGGTGTGGGGGAAGCACTGGGATGTATATGTGCTGCCAGTGCATTGGGTAGAGCAGAGCAGCTGATCCATGGAGACAGGCAGTTAACTGAAATGCGTAAGAGAATAACAATATAAGTAGTTGCTGCCGACCTTCCCAACAAAAAGGTATGTTCAAGGTATCAAAGACGAATGATAGTCATAAAATAATTTACGTAATGACATAACTCACATTGTCTTTACCAATTCTACATGCAAAAAGGCGTATCTCAGAGGCCCCTCTAAAAAATATATAAAGAGCAAAGTAGCTTCTTGGGAATCATATTTTGATAGTTATAACCAGCTCAAAATATAGGGTTTGTGGTCAACACTTAGAACACAAATATAAGTAAAACTGAACAATTAGGTTAGCATCTTAGAAAAAATTGTAGGAAATTACGATTGGTGCAGCACAGTTTGCACATCACTCAGATTAATATAACACGATTAAATATGGAAAGAAAGAGAGGCTGAAAGCTCCTGAGGGATATCATTAGGGCAAATTGCCAAAGAATGAAACATGAACTAGTCAGGAGAGTCTGGAAGCTGCAATAATACCAGGGGACTTGAACGTTCGACAGTTGGAGCTTCAGTAATGTGTGAACTGCAGGGTACGGTATCAAGAGACCCTGTTCACTGACACATAGAATGTCACTATTGACCAGCAAACTGCCCGAGCTTGACAGCTGTACTACTGGAAGCCAAGTATATCATAATTTCATATTTAAACTATTCATTCCAGATTAACATTTTGTTTCCTAGCTTTATATCACAACAGCTGCAATTACATTGTTGCTATTTTAAAGGTATTGCTATTTTAATTGTTTTGTTTTGGCAAGCAGTTAATTAAACATTTTTTAATGCTTAACAAAAGGATATCATTTTTTTTCCTTCCTCCTCCTGACTCTCATCAGAATTCTTTCTTTTTTTCTATTTTAACTTATAATTTTGTTAAGTGTAGTCATTTTTCAGTGTTTAAATAATTAAACAGCATTCTTCATCATGGTAAAGTTTTGCTGTAGTCTGTATTTCAAGAATACAAACTAATTCATTTTATTCAACTTGAAATCTGAATTAAAAAAAAAACTATCTGAAAATGAACTAGACATTCTACAAACCATTATCTCTACTTTATCATTATACAAAAAAAAAAATACACATGGTAATCACAATTAAGTTAAAAGAGCAGACATACACAAAGGAATCCAAATCTTATTATAGCAACATTTTTCTATGTTTAAGTGCAAAACAGTTACACTAAATAAAAAATCAATTAAAATAATCTGATCTGAACCAAAAACATAAAAATCTTCATTGAAAATATACTAATATTTGCCATATGTATTATATTTTTTTCCAGTCAGATTTTTTTTATCAAATTTATATGGCAAGCATATAAATTTTGATTCCACTTGGAATGTTATCAATCAAGGGTTTTAGTACCTCACATTTACAAGATTTAATAGTTATCACAGTATTCCTTAAATAGATACTATTTTTAAAATTCCTTAATTAGAGCATATAACATGCCACTAGGAGGCATTCAAATACTTCTACTGAACAATTACAGACCATGGATTTATTTATGGTGCAACCTTGAACTAGAGGGAAATGAAAATGGGGTTGATCTAATTCATTGTGTCAAATTCTCCAAGAGCTTTCAACTACTCCCTGGTTGTAAATTTGGAGTCTTTAAAGCTATATTAACTCTTTCTATCCCTTCAGGGTAATGTGATGGGCTAAAAGAGCTTATGTAGCTTTGAAAGGCAGCTAATTAATCAATTTCTCCATCTGCACACAGATGACTTTTAAAACAGCTCATTTAAAATCTTTTAAAAAGTGGGAGGGGGGCGCTGGTGGCAGGGAAGTGTTCCTTTTTTATTACTAAGAAAATAACAGTATAGCAAGAAGAAAAATACATTCTCAAAATGAGAAATTATATTGAGGGTGACTTATTTCACTGGGCATACCCTGAGTCCAAAATACTCTACTAAATGCCATGTATATACTTTTCCTACCACTTTACTGACCATTCTTAATGAAGTTCAATTATTTGCTAACAAGGCACGATATTATCTGATGAACTGGATTGGCTTCTTAGAGAATGGTTCCTGTGATCATAAGCAGAGTCACAAAATTTCCACAATGGCCAGCATCTGGCAGAGGGTCATCCCTGCTAATCAAGATCTACCAAGAAAGAAGGAAGATCTACAGGACTTGGCAACTTTTTGCATATGAGGGATAGGTGACAGGGAGAGGTAAAGACATATGACAAGCCCTCCCCAACCCTAGTTACTGGCCTAAGCAACCAGAATGAATTATTAAAAGTAATATAGTAAACGTATCAGGTTTAGGTGGAACTATAAGAGATTTGCTTTTGCAAATATGGATTCTGTTAACTGTGAGACATCCAACTGAATATTTCTCAAGAGGGCTGATGTATATGAAAGAAGATTCCCCACATCCACCCAGTAGCACGCAAAGAACTATGTGATTAAAAAAAGAAAGAGAGAAAACACTATTTCAGCATATACTATATAGAGAAGACAGCAATGTTGAAAGTAAAGAAAAATATAATTTTAAAAATTTACTAGGAAATTAAACACATTTATATACATAAGTTGTATAAAATTATAACAATTAAGTATATCACAGCCACAAAGTTAGGGCTCTGCCACTAACAAGTTGTGTAACCTCTGGTACATCTGCTGATATAACCAGGTCTCAGTTTCCTAATCTTTAAAATAAGAAGTGTATATATCAGATGGTCTATAAGCACTGTCTCTCATAGATCAAACATTCTTTAGTCTTAGATCAATTCAATTCTAGCTTTTTATATTCTTAGTAATGGAGATTATTTTTTTCCATGCAGGTGGTTAACAGAATATTTTAACTTGACTGTAATTCAGATCTGCCTTCAAAATATATCTAAAGATCATCTCAAATGCTTTAATGTACATTAGGTAACTGTGCAATTGAAAATATTTTAATAAATTATTTGCTGAATTCAACAAAATTTTTGAGTGCCTGCTATGAGGGGACTTTAAAAAGATCATGGAAAAATAGAATGAAAAAATAAAAATAAAAATAAAAACTTTATTTCTCAACATAAGCTCCATTAAGTTCAAGACACTTTCATAAGCAATGACACCAGCCATTTAATCCATCCCTAGAGGGTCCACTGAGGGTCCACTGAACCACGTCGATGAGGTTAGCTTTGGCTAACTTTCTCAAATCACTCTCATCATAAGCAGATGTTATCATTCTTTGGCCCTCCAGAAAGTCAGCAAGCAAAATGCCTTGAGCACCCCAAACCGCTGCCATAACCCTTGCTCTTGACTGGCCCGTTTTCACTTTGACTGGACCACTTCCACCTCTTGGTGGCCAAGGCTCCAACTGTGCTTTGTCTTTAGGTTTGTACTAGTAAAACCATACTTCCTGTCCCATTGCGATTCTTTGAAGAAATGCTTCAGGATGTCGATCCTACTTGCTTAAAATTTTCGTTGAAAGCTGTGCCCTTTGCTGCAGCTGATCTGGGTGCAACGGTTTTGGCGCCCATCAAGCAGAAATGTTGCTCAGCTTGAGTTTTTCCGTCAGATTTGTGTAAGCTAAAGCAGTTGGGATGTCCAAGGCATTGGCTATTGATTCTGCTGTTAATTGCTGGTCCTCTCTGATTAGGACACAAACAAAATTGTTACCTTACAATTTGATGTGGATGGTCTGTTGCTGTGGGCTTCATTTTCAACATTGTCTCACCCCTTCTGAAAACAAATTATCCATTTGTAAACTACAAATTTCTTTGGGCCACTGTCCCCATAAACTCTGTGTAAAGCATCAGTGATTACACCATTCTTCTGCTTAAGCTTCACATGTTTGTTCTTGCTTCAATTTTAGCAGAATTCATGTTGCTTTCATATGGACTCTTTCAAACTGCTGTCTTACCCTTCTTTGTGCCTCAAACTAGATCCTGTTCAGACGTGTTATAACAGGTTAGTATGAGTTTATTTGGGTGCAAAAAAATTTTGCAATGCATGCACAGTTTTTTCATAATATGCATTTTCCATGAACTTTTTGAAGACTCCCTAATATGTTCTATATAAATCCCTGCCAGGCAACAGGGACACAAAACTGGACAGAACAAAGTCCCTGTTTTCATGAAGCTTACATGTTAGTTGGGAAGGCAAATAATAAACAAGTAAAATATATATTATGTCAGTTAGACATGAGTTCTATGAAGAAGCCTAAAGCAGGGTCAGGAGAGAGAGAGTGATGGGGGAGCTATTTTAGATTACAGAAGGACTCTGACGTGGCGTCAGCTGAACTGAGACCAAACTGAAGTGAGAGAGCAAACGACTGTGGATTTGAAGAGAAGAACATTCCAGCGGATAAAACGAGGCATTCGGAAGTCCTGAGGTGGGAACACGCTTGGCATGTCCACAGCACGATGGGGGGCCAGTGACAGTAGCCTGGAAGAAGCGGCAGGATGGCAGGAGGGAGCTCAGCCACGATGGACGGTCTTCTAGGAACGGCTGACTCTAAATTTTATTCTGGTAGAGATTTTTCCATATGTCTGAAAAGAGTACTAATTGTCACAACAAATTATTTACCTGGAACATTTTGACAACCATGCAAGTTAAGAGAAAATAAAGTACGTATTTTAGAACTCTGGTTTGTGGTGCAAAGTACTACAAAGAATGAGAACAATTCAGAACATTTTGACAACCATGCAAGTTAAGAGAAAATAAAGTACGTATTTTAGAACTCTGGTTTATGGTGCAAAGTACTACAAAGAATGAGAACAATTCAGGGCCGGCCTGGTGGCGCACTGCTACAGTGCGCCGCTTGAGAGCGCGGCGGCCCTCCCGCCGAGGGTTCGGATCCCACATACAGACCGGTTCCCACTCACTGGCTGAGCGAGGTGTGGGCGCAGTGCTGAGGGTTGCGATCTGTTGCCGGACACGAAAAAAGACAAAAAAGGAAAAAAAAAAAAAAGAATGAGAATGATTTAATAAGCCAAGTAAGAAGAAGGATCTCACTACTTTAGAAAACTGATTAGAAACTATACTTTAG